GCTTGTCGGAGGCAGAAAAATAATGGTTGTATGTCTGTTGCAACCCTCAAAATGTATGTGGAGAGGAGAGGAGGGGACGGTTTAGCCCTTCCTCTGCCTGTGGACCTGAAGCAGGAGGGAGGCACCCGGAGAGTGAAAGGAGTGGATGGTGGTAAAGGATGATCTAAGTGTATATGAGGGGGATATGAAAAGCACTGCAGCTGGAGAGAGCAGTATCTCTCTCCCACCACCGTCATCATTACGCCTCTCTCATCCTCCTTCTACTCCTGTTATCTCACAGAGAGGAGGCATGCCATATGGTTGCAAGAAGCTTCTATTCCGAATGTTTTCTCTTGCAGGGTGGGAAGGATGGCCCAGAATTCACCTCTGTCAATGCGCTCCTTTTTGACGTGCAGAGTGCAAACTTGGACCGCTAGCGTGCAGAGTCTGTATTTGTTTCTGTGCACAAATCCTTCATGCGCCTGCAGAATTTAGAGTATCCGTATCAACAAACATGAACTCCCCCATTTCCATTTTCTTCTCCAAAGAAAAAAGGATAGGAAAGGATAAAGTCGAAGAAGGCAGGAGCACAATGGGGGCGGGGTGGGATGCTGACAAAGTCGATTATGAAGCGTTCCCAAGTTATCTCCTTGGTGCACAGCTCTCCTTGGTAATTAAGAACGTTTTGCTTTTTTACTCCCCAGAAGTTGGGCTGGTTCGGGTAGAACACTATGAATTAATTGTGTTTGACAATAGCGATGAGGGGCCAAATGCAGCATGAAGATAGACAGAAAGTCTTGGGAGGCAGAGTGGAGCCCTGAGGTCCTTGAAGGAAGCTCTGGGCAGTGAGACTGTGACGGTGCAGCGAAGTACTCTGGAGACAATAGATTGGATGTAATCAGATGTGGCTCTATATCTGATCCTACATCTGTATGTGGATCTTAAACAAGTGATACTGTCGAGGGAGCGACAAAGAGAGATAGCAAAGTGGTTAGCTGGGCACAGTTTTCTTTCTTCCTGTTCTCTCCAGCTGTGACTGTGCTGTTTTTAGGCCATTTCATGGTAGGGGACCATGAAATAACAGTAAAGAGTCCCTTATTTCAGACTAAAGAGACGTGTTCCCGCTGCCACTTCTCTTCTCATGAGCAAGCACGTTGAAATTCATTCCGTCTCCCCCTGCTTCTCTCAGATATGGCTGTAATAGTGCAGCGAGATCAAATGAGAAAACAAGATAGTAACTCTGCGGGATGCAAAGCTTATGATGGAGTTACTGAAAGACAGCCTCATATGGCTTTACTCTCAATTGACTGCTGCCAGATGTGAGAAAATCTCTGAAATGAAGCTGGGATCATGAATAGCAGCTCTGGACCAATGCCTGGCCAGGAGATTTGATTTGGGCTTTGGCACCACACCAAGCGGAGGGCACTTGATTGCTTTCACTTTGGGAATTGGGGCGCTCGCACCAAACCATTAAACACTGAACGTTAAACCTAGTTCTAGCGTTTTAGCCTGCAGAGACCTGGTATCCTAGTATTCCTCCCTTCTTCTACTCCCTGCACTTGTGTAGCTCAACTCCAGGCTTGATTGTCAGGCTGCCGGGGAGCTCTAGAGGGATAGAGTCGTTGCCAGAAGAAGATGTTCCAATTCCTCTGGGAGCTTTTTTCGCTTCGCTTCCTTCCTTTTCGCATCTGTTAAAGTGAACACCTACGGGAAATTGATTCTTGCCGGTTATTTGTACTGTTTATTTTCTAGTGGAGCTCCCTAATGAGATGTGGAAGCTGTGGCACATATTTATTGTTTCTAGCAAAAAAAAAACGGGGAATGCTTGCCAAGTATTTTTCTTTTTTTTGCGTAAGGTTGGCATTGGTGGTCAGAGGAAAAAGGAGGAGGATAAGAAGGGAGAGTGAGGGTTAGGAAAGGCAGCGAGAGAGGAGAAAACTTGGGATGACAGACCCATCACAAGAAGAAGAATAAGGGGACACATGTGAGGAAGTTTTGTCCCGGCTAGAGCTGTTGCAAACTTTTGGGACTTGGGATTTTTCCCCTCCACTGGGTCTCTGTAATGGCTGCCGTTTTGGATTTAGTCAGCAGGCACCGAGTTGGCCAGAGATGCTAACTCTGATCTGCCTCACACACAGTTGGGGAGATGGGATAAAGGCTTCAGAATGAGATGTAGTGAGACAGTGCAGCGCCACAGCCCAGCTCTCCTTTAGGACACTTCTGGCTCCAATGACTTCCATTATATCCCGGTGTGACTAAAATACTGATTTGTGATAGCGAATGCGGGCGATTAGCTCTCTTATTTTTACTTCTGTCCACATATGAAGGTAATAACGCGTTGCGATTTGTACTTATAAGATCTGAAAGATATGGAAGTTTTCCATGCTTGGCGAGTTTTACAGAATTGATGAAACACTAAAGGCACTTGAAGAGGAGACCCACGGGGCTGATTGTTTTCCTCGCTCTGGTCAAGAACCCTGAAACATGTAAAGATCCTCTGAGGCGCTGATGTAAGAAAAATCACTGGACACCAGAGACCATAAACCCCATATTGGCAACACAGCCTGGACCATTACAAGCCATCCATTTCAGAATGAATGATCCCGGCTGTTTGCCACACACACACACACACACACACATGAACCAGTGTGTAAGTCTTGTTCAAGTATACCACTCACCCTGCATAGCAAATACACACAGAAGGATACATTAAAATACATCAATCTCTTTAGGAGTGAAAACAATAAATGTTAAAGGGACCTTCATTTATTTTTGCTTAGACACATTTTGTTGAAATGACCCAGAGCAGCTGTGTCGCTGCTGAATTTGGCCTTCAGTCATTTGCTGTGTTTTAACCCTCTGAGTTTTGCTTTACATCAAGATGGGGACAACGGGAAGATGTTGCCACTTGGAGATTTGTGTCTTTTAGCAGGAGTTAGAACATTGTTAGCTTCGTATTTAGTTCTTGTCCCGAACGACTGCCGTAACCTGTCCAAGTTCTTCCAGATACCAGCGTCCAGGGCAAATTATGTTCAAAGATTAAGCATCGTTTATAACACGGTTATAACTGAGGGCTCTCTGAATTTTGTCACCAGCGGGGCAAAGCTGGGAAATCAGTCAGATCGTTTCAATTTAAGAACGCGGACGACGTAGCAGCGAGAGAAGCCCCCAGCGGTTAGTGTGGGTGGAGTTTGATTTGCTGTTAGGTGGTTAGATTCTGCTTAGAGGTTTCTTAGCTTAAATCTCTCTCCATGTCCTTATCAAAGCAACAAACAGCTTTAACCCTTTGAGCTTAGCAATGTCCTCTAATCCCCATTCATTATCTAATCTAGTTACAAACAGCCACTTTTCCTCTTCAGTCCGTGACGTGTGTAAGACGTTCATTTAATGAATCCCATAATATTAACAAATAAAGACCTTGCAGATTCCCCCCACCCCCCAAAATGCACCCAAAAATGATCAAAGCCTGCACTTGAGATTTAATGGGTGTTTATTTGTTTATTTCTCCTGCCTACTTTCTGCAAAAGCTCTCATCAAAATGATTGGATACAGGCTCATATCAAACTATAGAAGAAAGAGAATAATAGATTCAGTTTAATGCTCAGTCTCTTTAGAGTTTCATAGCATGCACAAATCATTTCATAAGTGGGTAAGTCATTTTTTATTGATCCACTTTTTCATTCAACTTTCATCTCCCAAGTCTTTTTAATTCTGATTTGTGTCCTAACTAACCTCAGCAAAAGTGCATTCCCCGGCATGTCAGAGGAGAGCACAGAAGTCAGTTTTCCTCGAGCTAGAAATGAATGCAATGATTGTTTTGTTTCCATGAAATAAATATGCAAGCACTTCATTTATCTTGTTTGTCTGTCACATGAATACTTCATTTAGCTCTCGCAGACAAATTTTATCTTCTGAATTCATGCGTGCATGTTTTATCGTTCACAACTCCATTTCAGGAACCCCCCTAAAGGTATCTGGCCTCAAAAGCTTAATTCATGATAATTGCAATACATCTCTTATGCAAATAGTGAAGCTATTGCAGATGTTACTGTAAAGTCTTAGATTCTTATCCTTGTACTGTTTTTTTATAGTCTGCTAGAGTTCTGTGTGCGCTAGTTACCAATAAAAAAATTTGTCTTTGAAGTAGAAACTCGACTTCTTCTTCTTTCTTTCTTTTTAAAAAAACAAGAATCAACCACCTTCAGCAGCACAAACGCGCGGCACAAGACAGAGAGGTTGGGACATTCAGCACTCAAAGGGTTAAAGAATTGTCACTTTCATGGCATCACATTACAAACTTGTGGCTCAAGTTCTGTGTAACGTTGGGCGAGAAATGGAGCCCACACGCTGAACAAACACAACAGTCCCTTTAACTTTTAGTGACTTTCATGGGGATTCTTTTCCTTGAGGATCCACTGATAGTCATTCTTTTCTTTTTGCTCTGTTTTCATGAGTGATTAGTCAGTACAAGTTCACATTCAGCCAACAAAAGACACATGAAAGAAGCAAACGGATTCACTAGGTTGTTTACATGTGGTCAGGTTATTACGGGGTTATGTTGGGTTATTCGGGAGTTATTTCTCTGAAGAGATGCAGCCCCAGTTTAAGGTGCTTTGGATAAGGTCCTTTTGATATCTCCAAATCAATACTTCAGAGGAACGAAAACTTATAGAAGATAATTGTTTTTTGGAATGACAATTTTTTGTCACAGTGAACAGCTTTAACTGACAACTAGATATAAAACTGAGAGGAAAAGAAAATATCTTCTGACAATACCTCATTTGCAGCGTGGCTTCCCATCACTGGAGATATAGAAAAACTTCAAAAGAATTAGCTAATTATATACCAGTCAGTCATTTGCAGGCTTTTAAAGTCTGCACTGGGTTATAATGGACCCACAGTCGTGTGAAAAAGCCAGATCGTATTCACCCTTGATGCTTGGCACTGCACCTCTTCCAGAGTGGTGGTTAACGGTAGGTTAGGCAGTTAGATCATTAGTGGAGTTAAAGGGATTTTATTACCTTTGTCGAGTAGCCACTCGTCAACTACCCGACCAAGTCGGTATGGGATTCTTTGTCTAGCAATAGCCAGGCGCTCATTATCAAAGTTCCCTTTAAGAAATTTGGAGAAGACAAATTAAGAAAAGGTTACACAAATCTGGAAGTTGAAAGGTTAGAGGTTAGAAGGGCAACATGGCAAATGTTTAGCAAGTTATGTACTTTAAATCAGCTTTAGTTAGGACAGGAAGAACTTGTGGATGTGTTTTCGGGCTGGTTTGTTTGGTTAGACAAGTTAACAGCATTCTAGTTACCTTGAATTTTAAATGATTTTTTTTAAATGCACTAACAAGTTAAACAGATTTATGAATTATTTAGATATAGTATGATTACATTTGTGGAAGTGCTAAATTATAATAGCTGTCACAGAGTCACAGAATCAGCAGTCAGTAAACACAGTTATTACAGTATGAAATAATAAAGCAGAGAAAAGATTTCCCATTGTTATTTCACATGAGCATGACATAATCACAGAGAATTAAAACACATTTCATGGTTGTTCCAAGGAAGACATATTTAAGTTCCTGCCGCACACAAAGCATCGCTGATTAGCAAACCTCCACCATCCAGCCCAACAGGATGGCATTCTGCCTGTGGAGCATCACATCACTTTACATCCAGTTACTCCACTCCGGCTAAAGAGAAAAAAGATTCAGTGAAACTGTCAGCACTGAGTTTTTCTCAGGTTTTTTTCTTCCTTCTTATGCATTAATGGAGCACTTCTCAGTGGCACTTGGCAATTAGCATCACTTCATCAACGTGTCAAAGAAGTTTCATTGCTGCTGTGCAAACTTATTATCCCTCACTTCACTTCAATCAACCTCGGGGTCATACGCTGTACCTCTTATAGCACTGTCAACAGAGACAGAGCTGGAATTAGGGAAGACGAGGGCTGATGTGACCAGACTTGGGGTTTTAATAAAGTCTAATGCGGTGGTAAAGTCAGAGGATTAATTAGGAGTTTTATGTACGTCAAACAGCAGCCTTTGCCAAAAACCTGAGAGCTATGCTAGCTAAAATGAGGTCAGGGAATCCCCTGGTGTCCTAGCAGAGGGAGAAAGTTCTGCGAGTGGTACCAAAAAATGAGAATCACTAAAGTATATATATATATATATATATATTGATGTAGTATATACACCAACATATAAAATATATGACATGTAGGAATGTGTCCAAAATGCATTACTTGCTACAGTCTGAGGGGGAAAAAATAGTGGACATAGATTGAATTGGAGTTCATAGCAGGATACTGACAGGAGATGCTGATGGAATTATCTGCAGAGAGATGAGTCAGGGATTCAGGGAAGGTTTGGGAAAAGTGTCTAAACGGTAAACACTCTAAGCTTAGAGTGCTACATCCTGCATCCTCACAAGTATACGCTGATTTTGCCCCAACTCCCCCCCCTTAGCACCACCCTCTGTGGTGCCGCAGTGATCTAAAATAGACCACCTCTCAGTTCTGCAGTACCTACATCTACTCCCCAGGGGTCTCTCTACCCACACCTGCCTCTGTAGAAATGGCTCACATAAGCAAGAGGAGGTGCGTTTCCACATGCGCATACTGTATATGAAGGGAAACAGTTGTTTGTGTGTGAAGCAGAGGGCCGAAAGATAATGAAATCTGAACAGAGAGAACGCACGGAGAAGGAAGAAGCCTGGGATAAATGATAGCTGGCACACTGATGACGAAAATAGGAATTTTGTCTGGAATTTTGATCTTTGAGTGAGTCTTTTTAGTGACTTGAACCTGATCTTTTTAAGCAGGTTAACATTTGGACCATCTGTGTTTTCTTTCTGAAACTGAAATTAGTCTAAATTGAAAGGAAACGCTCATGCAGCAATTACACGCATGTGTTCACATTGCACTTAAGATTATCCAGACACAGCTCTGACTTCTGGAAAACCAGTACGGCAATTAGAGTGCACATACAACCCCGGTTTTAGAAATGACACGGCCACTCCGTTGCAATCACCGAATTAGAGAAGGAGAGACAGATGCCGCTGGAAGCAGAGAGGGACGAGGGGAAGATGGGACAAATGAGAGGGGTGTGGTGGTGATGGTGGGGGTTGCAGAAAAACGGCAAAATCAAAATAATAACAGAGCGAAAGGAAAATTGTGGGAGGCAGAAGTCCTTAGTGAGATGAATCAATTGTGTGCATTCGTGTTCTCCTCCTACTGCCACATCTGCCATCTCATCCACAAATCCTGACTAAATCTCCTCCCTCCTCTAACTTTCACTTCTGAATCAGCCACTTCCAGCAACACAATCCAATACAAGATCCCTTTTACCAGCCAAATAATTTGTGGATAATGATCATCCACCGGTACTTCTCCCTCTAGTGGCAGGCTTCTTCAAAAATGGGTTCACCCTCCTCATCCTCTGTGTCCTCTCCGTGAAAATGTTCCTTTCCTTTCTTGTTTCCATCATTCTTTCTCTAATCCCTTTCCTTTGTCTTACTCACTTATCCATTTCCTCGTGCTTGCTCCTTTCCATCTAACTGCTCTTCTTCTCTGCTTGTCCTTCCCTTATTCTCAAACAATCCTTCAGCCACACTTGGCGCTGTCCTTTTTCTCACCTCCCCTTGCCAAAACTAATTTTGATGTCTTTTGTTGCTAATAACGTCCATGCCCTATTCTTCCCTTGCACCTATATCCCTTCTTTTCATCTCCCGTGCCCCTCGTTCTTTATAAATTCTTCCTCAGCTATTTTTCTGTTCTTTCACCTTCTATTCGCTACGCACTGCTGTCCATCCAAACTCACCGTTTCTTCTCCCCTTTCCTCACACATCTCTCACTTGCCCCGTTAATCCCCTGCCTTTGTTTTGTTTTATTTACCTTCACTCAATTTTACCTCTGTATTCTTCATTTCCCCACAGCGCAGCAAGTTTATTACTAGGATATTAGATGTAGTACACAGGCACTTCCACACAGTCTAAGTGTGTGGCAGGCAAAGTAATAAATGCTCAGAGTGTAGAGTGTGTACTATATGTAAATGTGTGTATTCCTTCCCTGGTGATCAGGAGTGAGTGACAACATCCTCATCAACAACCAAAGACAGCAGAGAAATCAACACGGATGCTTCTTACCTAACCACTTGAAACAAAAACAAAAAAAGAGGGACAAGAGGAAGAAAACAGAATCTGATGGAAACCACAACAAAGAAAATTTGACTATAAATTTAATTTTAGCAAAACATATGTGCAGTGGCAAGGGAAAAAGTGGCACAAAGTCCTGTTGGACAGGTTTTTTTATGTCCTCTACACTGCAATTTCTAAAACCCAAGTTCCTCTGTGTCCTGCTTGTGTGTTTGCATCTGTTTGTATTAGGATCCTTAGAGAAATAAGTCATTCTGTGTGAAACAGTGACGCTTCTCCCTTCTCGCTCCTCTCTCCTACCAGCTGAAGCCTGCTCTGCATAAGAATGGGGAGGGGGGGATAGATTAAACAGCTGGGCCCTTCTCCTCTCCTTCTCCACCATTATCGCGCTCACTCCATTCCCAGGACTGTTCTCTTCGCTTGATATGAAAGATGGAGGAACAATGCTATCGTACCTGGTGCTCAAGTAAAATCTGATATACAAGAGAGGGAGAGATAAACTAGTAAATCAGTCAGTGGTTCTATTACTTTGAGGGATGTATTTTTTTTCCTTTTATAGCCAATGTTCACCAATGGAAAGCAGCGTATCAGATATAAAGAAATATTCCCTTAAAGGGTCCACACAATTATGCAAGGAATACAGTTAAGGAATATGCAAGGAAGACTTTCATGATGCATCATGATCTTTGTTCATACTAGGACCAGAAGTGAGGCTTTATTAGCCTTTGTTTACCTGATTTGTAAGTAAGCACTATGTCCTCTAATAATCTAACATAATAATGTGGAATAATATGGTAATGAATGGATTTGTTACTGTTGACTTCTATGTTAAATAATAATGTTTAGCAGACACATCTCTGCGCTTTATGTCAAATATGAGCCTAAGCCTATACTTCATGCTTCTTCATGTTTAATAACTGTACAAGGTGACATATTTGTAAGTCTTGTATTCATAAGGCATATGACATATGGAATAAAAACCTGTGTATTTTAATCATGGGTGCAATCACATCCCAGGGTGAGCAGCACAGCCTAGTAGACTGTGCATGTCAACGTTAGCGGCTGGACCACAATGCTTATGTTTGTATGTCTGCCGAGCTGAGCTGAAGGTGTCACCTGAGTCTCAAGTCTCATACCGTCCTCCCTGAAACACCGCTGCTGAGGACAGACACGTGTCAGCCACCTGGAGCATTGGCGGGATTAAAAGCTATGATTAGGCTGGTTTTGGGTAGGTATCACAGCTGTGTTGCTAGGGGCAAGGCAAGGGCACGCTGATTAACTGGCACCCTTGGGAGACACAAAGCAAGGTAGGGGAGGCAGGGGACCTACGCAGCATGCTAGGAGTGCAGAGTGTGTCTGAGACTGTCAGAGATTTGGATGTTTTGATAATCCAGCATATGAATCACACTGTCTCTTTGCGTATCAGTACAAACGTCCATGTCTGTGTGATTACATGCAATTGTGTTTGTAGCAACTCTCCAAGGAGCCAACTGCATATCATGTAGCTCTGCAGGCAGCCAGATGCCCTTGTACAGGACACCCACATTGGAAATCCATCCATAAGAATGGAGATTACATTGGAGACGATTGGCCAGCAGCCATCCCGCACTTCCTCCTCTCACAGAAACCTCTCTCCATCAAACTAGCCTCATTCTGCTTTTCATTTGGTAACTTTAGATGGATTGCTCTCTTATCCACTGGGTGTTTTCGAGAGCAGATTGGCATAAGAAACCACAGCCTTATGTACTGTAACCTCGTGCTACTAGATGCATCTCTTGTGTTGTTCTTAAACGCTTGCTCCTGTTTTTTTTTTCTTTTGTTCGGTTCTTTTTATTAACAAATGTGATCAAATTTTGATTTTATAGCAATTCCAACAGGTGTTTGGGAAAGATGGCAAGTGATTCGGATCAAGAGTCAGTGCAGAGTCAAATTTCAGCCTATTTTTCTGGGAGATGATG